GCCGTCTCTTAAAAGTCCTGAAAAGTCATTATTTCATGGTTAACTACCAGGAAGTTTGAAAAGACAGTCTGAGTGGGCAGGGAGCTTATATTCATGAACTCGCCTTGACTGACAGCTCTTTGAAAAGCAACTTGGATGCAGTGTCATTTTTTTATTTACATCTCCCGTTTGGCATGTCTCTTGTGATGCGGTTCACAGCAGCACTGACGGATGTGTTGACATGACAACTTCGTCAGCGTTTTGAATGACCCTTCCCCCCCTTTTGTTCCATGCTGGCTGAAGACTTGGCTAGCCAGTAACTAGCTAACACCAGACACCGATGAAAGGGGAAACATATAAGTATCTTTGCCATAGATGAACAGGGTAAACTTTTAATTATATTTGCTGACACCACACAGTCAAATTTTGGCACCAGTAAAGTAGCTATCTAGCTATATAAACTACGCCCCTCTGCAAACACGCCTTCTCCAAAGTTGGTTACAAGGCACTACTTATTTAAATTACGTAAGAGAACATCATGTTACTATTGGTGTATCAAAATGAGAGCTAAGGTCACCTTGTCTCCTTAATAATTAATCCAACTGTTTGTCGTGGGGGAGGGGACCAGTAACTTTATGATCAAACCTTATCAATTTAGAAGCAACAGTAATTTTTCATACTTTGGTCATCATACCTTGATCTGGTTTCCTTCAAATATCATCTAATTTCATGAAAAACATGATTCTGACTGTTCATGACCTTTAATGCGCTTCTAAATGTAGGTCAACTTTGAGAAGCCTTGATCTGTGCGTCCCTAGGAAATGTGCAGGGAAGGGAATTAATCTTGCGTGGCGTCCAAAAGCTCTTACGCTTTGAACACACCGACTGCGTCATTGCATTTTGGTACACCAGAAGTACATTCATTTCCAATGGAACGCTGCGTTTGCCTTGCAGCATTGCGTTGCAGAGGCAGTTGCTGTACGTCTGTGTGGTGCATACGTTGGATTTATCGAACATATGCATCAAATTGTTGCATTTTTGTTGCACACATATCCAGTAAAAAAATAAGTGTGGTATTACATAATAAAAACAGTTTGACTGCAGAATTTCTTTACATTTTTTATTCATTTATTTGCCAAGTAGCATACATACAGTGAGGGAAAAAAGTATTTGATCCCCTGCTTATTTTGTACGTTTGCCCAATGACAAAGAAATGATCAGTCTATAATTTTAATGGTAGGTTTATTTGAACAGTGAGAGACAGAATAACTACAAAATAATCAAGAAAAATGCATGTAAAAAATTTAATAAATTGATTTGCATTTTAATGAGGGGAAATAAGTATTTGACCCCCTCTCAATCAGAAAGATTTCTGGCTCCCAGGTGTCTTTTATCCAGGTAACGAGCTGAGATTAGGAGCACACTCTTAAAGGGAGTGCTCCTAATCTCAGTTTGTTACCTGTATATAAGACACCTGTCCACAGAAGCAATCAATCAGCCCAGAGGAATCAGCCCAGAACTACACGGGAGGATCTTGTCAATGATCTCAAGGCAGCTGGGACCATAGTCACCAAGAAAACAATTGGTCACACACTACACCGTGAAGGACTGAAATCCTGCAGCGCCCGCAAGGTCCCCCTGCTCAAGAAAGCAGATATACAGGGCTGTCTGAAGTTTGCCAATGAACATCTGAATGATTCAGAGGACAACTGGGTGAAAGTGTTGTGGACAGATGAGACCAAAATCGAGCTCTTTGGCATCAACTCAACTCGCCGTGTTTGGAGGAGGAGGAATGCTGCCTATGTCCCCAAGAACACCCTCCCCACCGTCAAACATGGAGGTGGAAACATTATGCTTTGGGGGTGTTTTTCTGCTAAGGAGACAGGACAACTTCTCCGCATCAAAGGGACGATGGACGGGGCCATGTACCGTCAAATCTTGGGTGAGAACCTCCTTCCCTCAGCCAGGGCATTGAAAATGGGTCGTGGATGGGTATTCCAGCATGACAATGACCCAAAACACACAGCCAAGGCAACAAAGGAGTGGCTCAAGAAGAAGCACATTAAGGTCCTGGAGTTGCCTAGCCAGTCTCCAGACCTTAATCCCATAGAAAATCTGTGGAGGGAGCTGAAGGTTCGAGTTGCCAAACGTCAGCCTCGAAACCTTAATGACTTGGAGAAGATCTGCAAAGAGGAGTGGAACAAAATCCCTCCTGAGATGTGTGCAAATCTGGTGGCCAACTACAAGAAACGTCTGACCTCTGTGATTGCCAACAAGGGTTTTGCCACCAAGTACTAAGTCATGTTTTGCAGAGGGGTCAAATACTTATTTCCCTAATTAAAATGCAAATCAATTTATAACATTTTTGACATGCGTTTTTCTGGATTTTTTTGTTGTTATTCTGTCTCTCACAGTTCAAATAAACCTACCATTAAAATTATAGACTGAACATCTACAGTGGGGAAAAAAAAGTATTTAGTGTGGCCTACCACTTTGCGGCTGAGCCGTTGTTGCTCCTAGACTTTTCCACTTCACAATAACAGCACTTACAGTTGACCAGGGCAGCTTTGACGAACTGACTTGTTGGAAAGGTGGCATCCTATGATGGTGCCATGTTGAAAGTCACTGCACTCTTCAGGACGGGCCATTCTACTGCCAATGTTTGTATATGGAGATTGCATGGCTGTGTGCTCGATTTTATACACCTGTCAGCAACGGGTTTGGCTGAAATAGCCGAAATCACTAATTTGAAGGGGTGTCCACATACTTTTGTATATACAGTATAGTGTATGTACAAACAGAGTACGCATTCGAGAAGTACTCTCCGTGTTTCATTTCGCATACTTTGATTTGGACTCGTACTCCGACTTTCCCGTGCTCCAATGTTCATGTTCGGAGCATGGAAGTATGCATTTCGAGAAACACCCCTAAACTAGCAGGTTTTTCTAGGGGTCAAATAGGGACGTCAACAGTTAGCATGTTAGCCAGCTAGTGCTTCAAATAAATTCAACCGGTTTATACTTTTGGACATATTTGCACCCTATACACATTTGGAAACAGGCCATTTGATGCAGTGTTAATATTTATGGACGTTGTGAGCAAACAGATAAGTATGTGCCTGTAAGGGAAGTTCAATCCATACTAAACAAAAATATAAATGCAACATTTAAAGTGTTGGTCCCATATTCCATGAGCTGAACTAAAATATCCCAGGAATGTTCCACACACAGTTACAGTGGGGAAAAAAAGTATTTAGTCAGCCACCAATTGTGCAAGTTCTCCCACTTAAAAAGATGAGAGAGGCCTGTAATTTTCATCATAGGTACACGTCAACTATGACAGACAAATTGAGAAAAAAAATCCAGAAAATCACATTGTAGGATTTTTTATGAATTTATTTGCAAATTATGGTGGAAAATAAGTATTTGGTCACCTACAAACAAGCAAGATTTCTGGCTCTCACAGACCTATAACTTCTTCTTTAAGAGGCTCCTCTGTCCTCCACTCGTTACCTGTATTAATGGCACCTGTTTGAACTTGTTATCAGTATAAAAGACACCTGTCCACAACCTCAAACAGTCACACTCCAAACTCCACTATGGCCAAGACCAAAGAGCTGTCAAAGGACACCAAAAACAAAATTGTAGACCTGCACCAGGCTGGGAAGACTGATTCTGCAATAGGTAAGCAGCTTGGTTTGAAGAAATCAACTGTGGGAGCAATTATTAGGAAATGGAAGACATACAAGAGCACTGATAATCTCCCTCGATCTGGGGCTCCACGCAAGATCTCACCCTGTGGGGTCAAAATGATCACAAGAACGGTGAGCAAAAATCCCAAAACCACACGGGGGGACCTAGTGAATGACCTGCAGAGAGCTGGGACCAAAGTAACAAAGCCTACCGTCAGTAACACACTACGCCGCCAGGGACTCAAATCCTGCAGTGCCAGACGTGTCCCCCTGCTCAAGCCAGTACATGTCCAGGCCCGTCTGAAGTTTGCTAGAGTGCATTTGGATGATCCAGAAGATGATTGGGTGAATGTTATATGGTCAGATGAAACCAAAATATAACTTTTTGGTAAAAACTCAACTCGTCGTGTTTGGAGGACAAAGAATGCTGAGTTGCATCCAAAGAACACCATACCTACTGTGAAGCATGGGGGTGGAAACATCATGCTTTGGGGCTGTTTTTCTGCAAAGGGACCAGGACGACTGATCCGCGTAAAGGAAAGAATGAATGGGGCCATGTATCGTGAGATTTTGAGTGAAAACCTCCTTCCATCAGCAAGGGCATTGAAGATGAAACGTGGCTGGGTCTTTCAGCATGACAATGATCCCAAACACACCGCCCGGGCAACGAAGGAGTGGCTTCGTAAGAAGCATTTCAAGGTCCTGGAGTGGCCTAGCCAGTCTCCAGATCTCAACCCCATAGAAAATCTTTGGAGGGAGTTGAAAGTCTGTGTTGCCCAGCGACAGCCCCAAAACATCACTGCTCTAGAGGATATCTGCATGGAGGAATGGGCCAAAATACCAGCAACAGTGTGTGAAAACCTTGTGAAGACTTACAGAAAACGTTTGACCTGTGTCATTGCCAACAAAGGGTATATAACAAAGTATAGAGAAACTTGTGTTATTGACCAAATACTTATTTTCCACCATAATTTGCAAATAAATTCATAAAAAATCCTACAATGTGATTTTCTGGATTTTCTCATTTTGTATGTCATAGTTGACCTGTACCTATGATGAAAATTACAGGCCTCTCTGATCTTTTTAAGTGGGAGAACTTGCACAATTGGTGGCTGACTAAATACTTTTTTTCCCCACTGTATTTGTCAGTGGGCAAACGTACAAAATCAGCAGGAGATCAAATACTTTTTTCCCTCACTTTATTATTTGTTCGATGACATCTAAAAATTAATTGTGAAAGCCTGTAATATAATTTCCCTCCAAATGCATAGTTTTGGAGCGAAATGCACTAATAAATAGTCAAGATAGCTGAGAGTAGGCTCTTTTAACAATGAGACCAATGTTGAGGAAGGTGGTCTTGATTGCGCTGTTGGGCCGGGACCAGCCCCGCCGAAAGGGCAGGTCTGTGTCTGTCCAGGGATGGTTGATGTCCCGAAAGCAGGCAGGGGAGTTCCATCATCTCATTCAAGATCTTCGACTGTTTGGAGAGGAATTCCTAAGTTACTTTAGTCTGGACCAAAGCCAGTTCGATCACCTGCTCCAGATGGTTGGAGCCAGGATCGCCCGGATGGATACCAACTACCGGGAGTCCATCAGCCCAGTTGAACGCCTGGCAATTTGTCTCTGGTAAGCTAAATTCAAGTGAATTTTTAAAGCCTTTGATACCGTAATTGATTGATATTAGATATATTTTATGTGCAACCTAGCTAGCTAAAGGGCTCTCTGGTTAATAGCCCCTATGTGACATCAGATGTACTTTTACAGAATGTTCATTAGGATTATAACTTTCCCCAAAGTTGGTTTAAAATCCTTTTTTAATGATGCAATGTTACCAAAGGAAAATAAAGTTGGGGTGCGTTCTGCCCTGATGAAGGTAGGCTAGTCTTCTCCAGGACCCCTTGTTGTTCAAGACAGTTACAGTAATTCATTACATTCTTATTGGAATCATGTACAAAAAAGGGTTCCAAAAGTGTCCTTCTGCTTTCCCCATAGGATAACCCTTTTTGGTTCCAGGTAGAACCCTTTGGGGAAAAGGTTATACTTGGAACCCAATAGGGTTCTGCTTGGAACCAAAAGGGTTCTACCTGGAACCAAAAAGGGTACTACCTGGAACCGAAAAGGGTTCCTCAAAGGGTTCTCCTATGGGGACAACCGGAGAACCCTTTTAGGTTATAGATAGCAACTTTTTTTCTAAGAGTAGAGTTGGCCTGGGCTACAGTTTATTGATACAGTCATAGACTGAATTGTACTGTTTCAAGGCATTGTTAATGATGGTTGATGAGTATTACAATATAATTAGTAGAGCATAATAAACAGTAATGAGGTAGCTATATGAGTAGATAGAATATGTGGGTGGAATTCAAGTTACACACAATATTGATAATTATTTTGAATTATGTTTCAGATTCTTGGCGACAGGGGACTCCTACAGGACCATCGGATTCAGCTTACGAGTTGGACTGTCCACGGTGGCAGGCGTTCTCCCCTCTGTGGCAAAAGCCATTTGGGACTGTCTGGTTGGTGAATACATGCCGAGTTCCTGGAGAGGTGGAATTTCCCCAACTGTCTTGGCTCCATTGACGGGAAACATTGAGTAATCCAGGCTCCACTGTGCTCGGGTTCGCAATTCTACAACTACAAGGGTACATATTCAGTTGTACTCTTGGCTGTTGTAGATGCCATCTACTGTTTCCGTGTCGTTGGTGCTTACGGCAAGGGAAGTGATGGTGGGACCCTCCGGGACTCTGCCTTCAGCCAGGCACTTCAGGATGGCACCCTGGATATTCCACCACCTGCATCACTCCCTGCGGCTGAAGACCTGGGACCCATTTCCCACGTCTTCGTCGGCGACGAGGCCTTCCCTTTGAGACCCAACCTCATGAGGCCCTACGCTGGACGCCAGCTGCCATTGCCAAAGCCTGTAAGAATCTTCAACAAATGACTGTCCAGGGCAAGATTAGTTGTTGAATGCACCTTTGGGATTGTGGCAGCCCAGTGGAGAATGTATCGGAGAGTGCTTGGTCTCAGCCCCTCAAATGTCGATGCCTGCGCGAAGGCCACGTGTTCTCCACAACTACCTGCGGAGGGCATTCCAGGAGCCACTCCGGATGGAGATGGGCACGCCAAATGGTCACCTACCTGATGTCACCAGGGCAGGTGCCAACAACGCCCCAAGACAGGCACTCCAGGTGAGGGAGAAGCTGACCACCTACTTCTCATCGCCAGCAGGTGAAGTCCCATGGCAGCATGCCATGGAGTGAAACGGCTCTTTTAAGAGCCCCCTAACACAAAGGGTATTTTAAGAATCATCCACCATTGTCCATAAAATAGCATTTTTTCCCAGATTATTTTATGTCTCATTTTCTCTCTTCATATGGAAGTGAAATTTGGGAGTAAAGACCACACCTTAACCCCTTCCCTCTCCCATTAACATCAGTATTATACACACCTGGCATGGTACATCAGGTGAGCAGGAGCTCTAATTAAGGTTATACGACATACAGTTAGTATGATAACAATTGGAAAAGGTAACCTAGGGTCCATAAAAATAGTACAGTTTACCATGATCTTCACTGGTCTGACAAAATGCAGGTGGGAAAAGAATACGTTTTACTTTCATTTTGTCTTAGATCTGCAAAGGTGTAGGGAATACATAAATAGAAAAATTCTAAATGAGATATTAATAAACAAATGAAACAACTGACTATGAAAACATTAGAATTTAGTAAGTATGTGGGTTGTAAAAAATGTTACAAAACATAAAACAACTGTTGAAAGAGGTGTGTGTGTGTGTGTGTGTGTGTGTGTGTGTGTGTGTGTGTGTGTGTGTGTATGTATGTTCATGTAAAAATACCAAAATTAATGTGTAGCCTGTAATCTGTAAGAGAACAACGAGAGCATTTATTTTGGCAAAACTGCAGACAGATACAGGGACTACTCATAAAGCCTAGACGTAGTAGGGGAACTTCAGATGGCCATAAAGAGAGAGAGGGCAGGGCACTGGAGATATGAGGTACAGAGAGGAGTGGAGGAGAGGTGTGTGTGTGTCTCTGTCTCTGAAAAAAAGAAAGGAATGTGTAGCCATAACACAGCTAAACAAACAAATGGCCCCTGGATGTCATGGACCAGTCGATGGAACATAACTTCACAAACATTTTCAACACCCTGGTTTTCAAGTGGTTTTAAATTAAATACATATATTCACCTTTAGTCTTGTAAGAGACCAACTAGAGCATCCGTGAATTCTCCGGTTTGTGAGTTTAAATTCTGTCAATTCAGAAATCTATGTAACACTAATAATGAATGCTATCCTAAGACTTTAGAAACAAATTACTTTATGAATTGACTGAATGTCAACGGAACTGACGTGTGTGAAAGGAAAGGTACAATGAGGGAGGTCAAAACAACAACCAGACAACTCCTCTCCTCTTCCTGTCCCTCCTGTGTGCTGGTCTGCTAAATTGACTCCATCTCTGGAAGGGAAGAGAAAAACAACTCATACAAGCATTACATAATATAACACCATAGAAGGTGAGATTTATGTTAACTAAATACTGCTTGTATAGTGTAGTTAGTGGCATAAATATTGAAACAGTGTGGTAAAATTGGTAATTCTTGCTGTTTACTCATGGAATTTGTATTTCAGATTAAAAGATGAAAATGACAGGCAAATATTTAGACAGCAAACTGTTGTTTTAGGATATTTTCTAACCCAGAAACAACAGCTCTACATTTGCCTCATAATAATCCTTTGATCTGAAATACCAATTAGCCTACATGAGTATATTGTAAAAATGTTTGCTTCATTGTCGCAATACTTATGACACTACCTGTGTTGTGGGGGGGAAAAAACGTACCATTGAACTCGGCTTCGAAAAGCAGATGATGAATTTTAACCTTGACTGCTGCTTTTCTTTGCTGAGGCAGCCTCTCCAGGGTTGGCACCAGGCTCATGGCAAAGAGGGTCTCTTTATCCTCCTTCTTGTGAGCATCAGGTTGCGCTGCATCCCTCTCAACGGCTTGGAGGAGCCTCTGCTGAAATGAGTTGAGTGGATCTGGGGGCTGGTACCTCCGATGACGCCTGGTGTGACGTTGTTCCTCTTCCTGTCTCTCCCCGTTTGTCTCCACGGCCACATCCTGTTCAACAAGGTCCTCAGTGGTCACTTCCGTCAGGGTCATAATAATCTCACCGGATCCTTGATCCAGAGGTGCTTCCTCTATTTCATCATCTTCCATGGCTGCACAGGTGGTGGTCATATTGTGGATGACGTAGAGGATCTCGCTGCACCGGTGGAGGCGGTGGTCGCACTTGTAGACAATAAATGGATCCAGAAAAAGAATGTGGCAGAAGCGCGAAGGCCACTGGCCTGAAGCTGCTGACCCAGACCTCTTCTTCTCTTTCTCTGCCCTTCTCTCTCTCTGATACCTGTCCCTGAGTCCTCTCCACTTCCTCCTACAGTCTTCTTCTACATAGACATGAACATGATAAGCCAAACCATTACTTGATTATTAGTATAACTACAGTTATTAGATAGCTATCATGGACATGTCACCTACTGTACACACAGACACACACGGTTATCTGACCAAATTATCAGGGGTAGTATCTACCATCATTTCTATTACTATTTATCTGACATACACACTCACACGCTCTCACATACACACTCACACTCTTTCAAACATGATTATTTGGCCAAGTTATCAGGGGTAGTAAATAGCATAATTGATATGACTATTTCTTTTTCACACACACACACCTCATTGGTTAGGTTAGCAAGCTATCTCACTACTAAGCTTACCTGGCAATCCTACTATCATGGACAATTGTCTCCAAGCAGCATTTTTTGTGTTTATGTCCCTGTAGCTGTCAGCAGTTGTGTCAAAAATACACGGTTTTGAGGATACTGCGAAAATGATTCTCTCCTCAATGTGTCCAACCGCATGTGACCGTCTGCAACACTTGTGTAGATACCTGCATTCAGTATAGTTGCGTAGCTGCTCATCAGGCAAGAGTAACACACCAGCAGAGTTAGGCGGCCAGTGCCATCTCACCTCTCTCTCACTTTCTGCCTCTCTTTCTCTCGCTCTCTTTCTCTCACACACATACATCTCTCTATCGCCAGCCACTGGAAACATCTTATATTTTCCAGAGTGCCCCCACAAAAGAAAGATGAGGCGATGGCCAGGCTCTCCTTGCCCACTAATACACCCACAAAGAGCTTTCTAATAAGTACAACGGGGAGGGAAAAAACTAAGATTGAATGTTCTATGGCGCTGATAGAGTAGGCTGGCACACTAAAATGAATCACAAAGCGATAGGCCTATACGCTGGGCACCGTATATGGAATCAAATTAAAAGTATGTTTAAGATGCGGAAGGACGGGCTGCTGCCAGTCGCCACTGATGAATCAGACTGTGTTCAATTACAAAATCCTCTTTCTTGTCCGGCTCCCGCTCCAAACGGCCTGCCATTTGTGTTATTTGACATTTCCGTTAATTACTGGCTGTCATCACAACCAGATTTGTTATTACTGCGGCGGAAATACTTTTTTTACCACCACTCCAATGAGTCTCTATACCTTGTTGCAGTCAAACCTTTCGTAGCAACCTCTCTGCGGACATGGATTCGATTAGCCGTCTGTAATGATTTTGACTGGCTGTACGTTAAAGACTTTACAGATTTTGCATGCTTATTGTGATCGCAGGTGCAATACTTTCCCGCTTGTTTGTTGTGTGTTGGTCTGTAGGTTACTGTGCTCGGTCTCCTCTTACTGTGGTTTCATTCGTTGTTTGTTTGTTTGTATGTTGCTGCCACACCACTTCCAGTGTAGAGGTTGCAAGTGACATAACACAAGCTGTCAAACTAGAGCAGTAGGTACTCTGCCCTTACGGTTATATGTAACAGGAAAGCCCACCCCTGGGTGTGAAACAAATAAACCTGCAGAACATTGAGGGACTAACTAGGGCTATCAGAGATAAATCAGTTAACTCAAGTTAACTTTTTGTCATTTTAGTGCACTATTTTGTTTTTATTGCAATTCATCGCATTGTCTTTCAAAATACACTGAAAACATCCAAAATACATAATATATACAGCTAAAAACAACAACATGATGTGCGTTATACAGTTTCTTGATTTTGCTAACCGTTTCTTTGGACAAAATCAAGACTTCAATATTCTTGTAATGCGTTTTGTATAAAAAATCATAAATTACAGATCAATTTGAGCAAATTTTGAATTTGAATTTAATCGTGATTAATCACTGCAAATCCTGTGATTATCTAGATACAAAATAATTTGACAGCCATAGTACTAACACATCTAATGACCTGAGACCAAACAGTAATATTTTCCAGACAGCTGAAAGCCATGCTGTGGCAAGGACCTGTTGCTCCTGCCATGTGTATTGATTGGTTCCTCAGTATTTCCCCTGCAATAGAAGATAGAATGTACATTATATACTGAACAAAAATATAAACGCAACATGCAACAATTTCAACAATTTTACTGAGTTACAGTTCATATAAGGAAATCAGTCAATTGAAATCAATTATTTAGGCCCTAATTTATGGATTTCACATGACTGGGCAGGGTGCGTACCCATGGGGAGCCAGGCCCACCCACTGGGGAGCCAGGGCCAGCCAATCAGAATGCGTTTTTCCACACAAAAGGGCTTTATTAATCCTCAGTTTCATCAGCTGTCCAAGTTGCTGGTCTCAGACGATCCCGCAGGTGAAGAAGCCAGATGTGGAGGTCCTGGGCTGGCGTGGTTACACGTGATCTGCGGCTGTGAGGCCGGTTGGACGTACTGCGATATTCTCTAAAATGACTTTGGAGGCGGCTTATGGTCGAGAAATGAACATTCAATTCTCTGCCAAAAGCTCTGGTGGACATTCCTGCAGTCAGCATGCCAATTGCACGCTCCTTCAAAACTTGAGACATCTGTGGCATTGTGTTGAGTGACAAAACTACACATTTTAGAGTGGCCTTTTATTGTCCCCAGTGATACTGTTTAATCAGCTTCTTGATATGCCACACCTGTCAAGTGGATGGATTATCTTGGCAAAGGAGAAATGCTCACTAACAGGGATGTAAACATATTTGTGCACAAAGTGAAAGGGAGAGAGATGAGCGAGAGGGCAGAAATAAAGATGTTTAGCCATTGAATAGATGGTAATATATACACTCCTCCCGTATCAGCCAGATCCATATAGTTGCATGCCTCCCTGAATTATGCATAGTAGTTTTTATTATCTGCCAACTTTTGCTCCCTCTCCCTCTGTGTGATTGCTGCTGGGGAAATGCTGTGGATATGTTCCTTTTTAGAGCACAGAAATAATGACACAACATGGTGTAATGGATTTGATTCAAGCTACGTGCTACGAGGCAACCAAGGGGCAGAAATTTGTTGGTGGGGGTGATGGAGGCGCGAAGGGGTGGTGGAAAGAAAAACAATTTTGTCGAGGCAATTCCCCAGGAAAAAAGACCACAAGCCTCCGCTGATTGTCGTTCCCCCCCATACATGTATTAGAGATTGAAGTCACAGCTCAGGCGCCAATCTTGGTAATCGGAAACAAACCTGGTTTAATCCCTCAGGTGCCTTTCTACGAATCATAACACACACACACACACAAGCACACACACACACACACACACACACTCACGCATTCACACACAAACCTCCGTTGCCAAACGTGCTGCAACGTTTATTGAATGAACGCACCCTTCAGATGCCAGTGAGAAGAAAACACAGGAGGTATGAAGGATTTGGATGTACACACCCCACCCCCAGCAGAGGACTAACAGTCTCTCTCACAGGAAGTGGCAGTATGTAGTGTCGTTTTAGGTGCCAGGCCAAGCTGTGGAATAAGCCTTTATTGGGCTAATTAAATGATTTGTTTGTATGATCATGTAGTTAATTAAATGTTTGGAGGAGTTACTACTCCAGATGTGCCCTATGGAGTAGATTATGATGGTGATGGTCTCTCAAATCAGGCATGAAATACACTGAGTGTACTAAACATTAGGAACAGCTTCCTAATATTGAGTTGCACTCCCTTTGGCCCTCAGAACAGCCTCAATTTTGTCGGGGCATGGACTCTACAAGGTGTCAAAAGCGTTCCACAGGGATGCTGGCCCATGTTGACTCCAATTCTTCCCACGGTTGTGCCAAGTTGGCTGGATGTCCTTTGGGTGGTGGACCATTCTTGATACACACGGGAAACTGTTGAGCATGAAAAACCCAGCAGCGTTGCAGTTCTTGACACATTTAAACCGGTGCGCCTGGCACCTACTACCATACTTCTTTCAAAGGTACTTAAATATTTTGTCTTGCCCATTCACCCTCTGAATGGCACACATACACAATCCATGTCTCAATTGTCTCATGGGTTAAACATCCTTCTTTAACCTGTCTCTTCCCCTTCATCTACACTGATTGAAGTGGATTTAACAGGTTACATCAATAAGGGATTATAGCGTTCACCTGGATTCACCTGGTCTGTCTATGTCATGGAAAGAGCAGTATCTTCCTAATGTTTGGTACACTGTGTATGCTCTACTGTATATTGGCAGGTAGACAGGCCCATATGCGTTGAGGTGAAACACGGTTGTGGTTGTGTTGTGTTTTGCTCAGTTTGAGGAGGGAATGATGGGAAGGAAGTCCTGTCATACTTTGACAGGCGGTTTTATTAGTAGCCTCTCCTCTCAGGTGCTCTTATCTTGGTGTGTAGCATGTAGTTGATGTCTGATTTCTGTTTTTGTCTCTTTCTCTCTCTCTCTCTGTCTTTCTCTCTCTCCATAGTGTGTAGCATGTAGTTGAACCATCTCTGCTCTGATATCTGATTTCTGTTTCTCTCTCTCTCGCACTCCTGCAGCTACGTTGGGGACCCTGGACTTCAGTTTACTGTATGACCAGGAGAACAACGCTTTGCACTGTACCATCAACAAAGCCAAGGTGAGCATTCATGATGATGTTTATTGTCCTACAAAGGGAAATTGTTTCCATAATTTACACTGCAAAACTTTTCCTTGTAAAACTCTGGTGCCAGGATAATGCTGTAAAGTTATAGTGAAATTCTTCTTGAAATCTAAATGCAATACGTTTTTTAAAACATCAAATACATTTATTGAAATTGGTAACATGAACAACAAATTCAACAACAGAACTGACAATAGAAGTAACAACAGTTAACACATATGTAACCAAATAAGAGCATAATTACAACACTAATTTAAAGACTATATTGTGTGCCTGTGTGTGGGGGGTGTGGGGGAGAGAGAGACAAAGAGAGAGGGGGAGTTAAAATTGTGATTGGGTACAATCCTAGATCTATGATCAGGGGCAACTCTATTCGGGGTAAGGGGGTTCAGAGGCTGTGAAATACACAACGGGACAGTTTGGGCAGGAGAGCATCCAGGAGAGAGAAGTCAGCGCAGCATCAGGTGTTCCTCATGGGGCTCCGTAACAATCCTCCTCAGTTCTGATTTGTCAGCTCCTCTCACCCCTAGGACAAGCATAGAAAAATAAAGAATATAATGAGAGACAGAGAACACCAGGGCTGTTACTCTGTGGGTAAAAATACAGGTGACAAGGGACTGATGTCGTGTGAGCGTGGGTGTGTATACTTACCTCATTAGAGGACTTCATTCAAACTCAGTGAGCTCTTGGAAGAATGGGGCAATGTAGGGGTTGAGAACAGCTGGCTTCATCTGGGCCACCTTGTCATGCATTTTGTCCCATCTTCAGGGGTCATCATCTTGGGTTGATTTGAACCAGGAATCTGTACAGCCATATATCCAATATAGTTTATGAAAT